TACTGCTTATATTTCATGTTAGTGCCCTTGCCATCTTCATTGCTGCGTGAGAGAGAGAGAGAGAGAGAGAGAGGGAGGGAGGGAGGGAGGGAGGGAGGGACAGACGGACAGACAGACAGACAGACAGACAGACAGCATGGTTTTCACAGTGAGACTAAATGGAAAGATCTGCCATTCATGCACCCATTTCTTTATCTTCTGTTGTACTTTACCTCATTTCTTGTCACCTTTTCTCTTAAACAGAAAACGATACACTTGAGAACTTTTGTGTATAATATTTCACAGTGTATGTACTGTGTGTTTCATTCAGCTATTTCAGTATATGTTGGCTCTCAGGGTGTTACTCAGTAGTTACAATGAATAACTTTGTGGAGAGATAGGTTTTCATATGTGTGCTATCTTAAGGGTCATTTCCTAGAAATGAGATTGTAAAAGTCATTTTGTTGCATTTTCTAAATTCCCATCCTGGGGTCATGCTCACTTGCATTTCTGCTAGCAGAGGGTGTGTGTGTGTTTGTGTATCCTTCCTGCTGCTTCAATAAGCATCTTAACTTTTACCTGTCTAAACATCATTCCATACATTTAATGTGGCAATTTATCAGACGTGCAGTTTTTTCTCTATAAGCAGATAACTGGTTGTTGTTTGATATGTGAAGGTTATCTTCATAGTAATTTTATGTTCAAAATTGCTAAATCTTTTAAATTGAGTCTCAAGGATTTTTCTGGTATACCAATTATATCACATGCATGCAAAGATTTTTTGCAATTCTCGTATCTTTCCTTCTCTTGTGTAATTATGTTTGTCATCTCCCTGTTTGTACCTCAACTCTGTCAAATACAAGTAGAGCTACTAGGAATCTTGCAGTGTTTCTTCTTTGAGAGACTCACTTTGAGACTAGATTACATATATTTAAACAATTACTTTATGTAAATTATAAATACAATGTTAAACAGAACACATCTCTGTTACTTCCAGACTTGAAGGAGAATGGTAGCCACCTGTAATAGTTAATATTGTCAACGTGACAGGATCTAAGATTATCTGGAGACAAGTCCCTGGGTATGCCTGAGGTGTTGTCTGGATCAGGGTGGTTGAAGTGTGGAAACCAGCCTTAACTGAGGGGCAGCATCCCAGGTTGCAGGGTTCCTGGGCTGAATAAAAAGGAGGAAGCTTGCAGAATCCTGCTAGTGTCGGTGCTCTCTGCTCCTGATTGTAGACGCCACACTCCGGCCACCAGGGCTTGGCTGCCATGACAGACTGCATTCTCAGACTGCGAGCCACAGTAGACCCCTGTCTACTGTCCAGTTTCTTCTTGTTGAGTATTTTGTTATAGCTATGAAAAGGGTGGCTAATACATCTATTTTTAAATTTTTCTACTTGATCCTCCCAACATAAAAATAACAAGGAAAGCAAATACAGCTTTATTTGACCCCGTATTTCCCAATCCTACTAGATACAGACTCTCATGGTTTTCACGTCACATGTCCATCAGGAAATAACCTAGATTCTAATTAAAGGGGTTACTGACAGAAGCTGAGGGCAGGGACAGAGGTGGCTTAACAAGCACCAGAAGAAGAAGTACAAGTACTTGGCAAACACAAAACAGTGGCTCTGTTTGTTTGTCTTACTGTTTTTCTGTTTGTCTTGTTTGTTTTCTTTATTGTTTTAGTTTTTTGTCTATTTTTTGAGAAAGAAAACATGAAGTTGGGTGGCTAGGGAAGTGGGGAGAATCTGAGGAGGGAAAAGGGAAAAACATAAATAAAACATAAATAAAAATACAATGTTTTAAATTAAAAAGTTAAAAAAAATAAAATGCAACAGTTTTGAAAAAAGAGAGAACAAGTAGAGTGGTCCTGAAGCCTGCGACAAAACACAAACAGAATAACCCTTTCCCCAGTAAGAAACACCCAGTGCAAAGCAAAATAGGTAACGTAGGAGTGAATATCCTAGCTTTACCACAGCGCTTAGATGTTGAGGAAGGGTGAAAGCTTGGAGGAGTGTTGCTTTAGGACAAGCATACAGAGTGTAGTTTCCCTCAGATGGATTCCTAAAGCAAAAGAAGGAGAATGAGATGCAATAACTCCTCCACAGGTGATGTCCATAAATGAAGGAGAAATAGATGCAGTAACTCCTCCACAGGTGATGTCCAAAATTGAAACTGCACAGAAAACAGCTGTCAGAAGAGGGCGCTCTCAAGCTAGGAACGTTGGTCACAAAAATGATGAAGGTGATGACACCCTTATACAAGTACAGTAAAGAGAATGTGTGGAAACCCTCATTAATAGTCACGTACTTGGCAACTGTAGTGTTCCCTCCTGGAGTAATATCTTCAAACAGCATTCAAGACTAGTGAAAACAACCTGGATCAGAAATGTTATTAACCAAAAAGAAAAAGGATGGGTATTGATTGAAATCAATAAACAAAAAATTCAAGACTATATTAGAAATGAAATATGAATTACAAGATGTCCGAGGGAGGATAAAGTCATATAGCGATGGAGTGGGTGACCCTGAAGTTACGCAGAGGGAGGCAGGGTGCTGTAGGGATGAGAACACCCTGACCACACCATAGAGCAGGATGGGAGAATGAGAAGACAAAGAAGGTGCAGCTTACGGCTACTCGGAGAACCTCGAGAAAATCAGAGCAGCCACCCCAGACCCCAGACCGATGCCTGAAGTTAGGACGGAAGGAAAGGAAAGGAAAAAGCAAAACAAGAATCTTGACTCCTCACCTTAAAGGGCCTATCAGGCACCAGGGAACTTTAACCCAGGAATCCTAGGAACAGCTTAATGAAACTGTTAAACTTTACAGACAGAAACAAAAGTCTCAGGAGCTCCAGACCGAAAGATTACTTACATAATCATGTACATTAAACTAGTTGGAATTGTCCCGAATAGACTGCAAAGCCAAGCCACCGTAAAGCAACATTCCAGCACTCTTCAGGTGTACAAACCAAGGGTAGCGTATCCGTCTTCTCTTCAAGCGTCAAGGCTGCAATAAATAAACCGTGGGCAGCCGAGGGCTTGGGATGGATAGTGTGCACGTGCGCCATTGCTGGTGAGTGTCCTGCAGGGGAGCTGGGAGAGGAGGAGACCGCCGTGGTTGGATGAGGATGTCATTCGTGTAGATGTAGAGCTGAGATCAACAGTGTAGATAGAGGTTTGTGTGATGGTCAGGGTTTGTCCTGAATTCACTTAGCCTAGGAAGGCATCCCTGATACTGTCCTCATCTTACAGATGAGAAAACTGATAAAGGGTCAGTAACTTGGCCAGAGTGTCAAACCCTTTCCACCTTTCCCCGCCCCCCACCCCACCCCACCCCATCCAGTCCCCAGGCAGCCACTGCTCAGGGTTCTTTTTAAAGCTGATCCCAAGACGATTCTGGTTGCTTGGTCGTTGGTTTTCAGCAGTTTGGTCATGATCTATCTAGACATGGTTTTCTTCTCATTGAGGCTTAGGTGTACTCACCTTGAATTGGGTATACTTCTACCTTTATCCAAAATTTGCAGATTGGACATTTTCAGATGTTTATTACGCCCAGTTTCTTTTCTTATCCTTTTGGATTCTTGCAGCTTCTTATTTCCTAGAGTGATCCCGAGTTGCCTGGAGAAGTTGTGTTTGTTTCGTTCAGTCTTTCCTGGAGTCCTGCAGGCTCTCGGCCTTTCCCTCTGCACCTGTTTGCCAGGGAGCTCATTCAGTTGCTTTGTTTCAACTCTTACTTTTGCTTTCTTTTTCCAGACAGGGTTTCTTTGTGAATGCAGCCTTGGCTGTTCTGAAACTCCTCTGTAGATCAGGCTGGCCTTGAACTCCCTGTGAGCCACCTACCTCTGCCTCTCAAGTGCTCAACTAAAGGTCTTCACCACCGATGAAGGCTTTCAGCTCTTAACATTTTTGAGACAATCTTATCTCTGTTTATTTTTTTCTATCTTTTCATTTGAGTTTTTCTTTTGCCTCATGGAACACAATTTCATAGCTTCTATAAGTCTCTGCTAACTCAAATTATTCTGTTTTTACATCAATATCTTGTTTGTTTTTTAAATTTCCTCTGATGGTAAATTAGATATCCTTCTTTATGGTGTTTGCTTGAGGCAGGATCTCACTGTGGCTCTGGGTGACAAGGAACTGGGTTGCCATTCTTTGTAAAGCAGTAGTTTGGTGCTGTACCCCAGACATTGGAATTTTGTGATATGTGGAACTTGGGTTCTATTGAAGTCCAGATAGATACTTTTGGCTTTGTTTAGTAGACGTTCAGCCCAGTTACTTCTGGCTATAAATCAGATCTTGTCTTTCCAAAAAGGCATTTTACGTGTATGAGTGTCTTACCTGCATATGTATATTGCACCAATGCATGCAGTGCTTGCAATATCAAAAGAGGGCACTGAATGCTCTGAACCCAGAGTTACAGATGGTTGCCAGCCACCACATGAGTGCCAGGAACCCAGCTGTGTCCTCTGTGAGAGGAGCAAGCTCCTGACCACTGAACCACCCTTCCTCCAGCCCCTCTGCCCATCCTTGGCACTCTTTCCTGTTTACTTAGTAATTCAGTTCTCAGTGCTCAGCATCTGCCGTGCCTCATGGGCCCTGCCTTGTGCATGTGAAGTTTAGAGGATAGGCTGAGATGTGAACACTCACTGCTTCCCCCACACTCCAGCCTGCCTGGATCTCCCAGAATGCAGTGTGGCTTCAGCTGACAGCAGGGCTTCTGGTTTGGTGCCGCTGGGCCCCCGGCCTGCTGTGCTGTGCTTCCCTGTGGCTGGCATTAGTAATTCTGCCGAAGAACAGGGTTCTAAGACTGCATGTGAGTCTGAACCTGCATGTTTACATGGAGAGATCAAGACTGTCTGAGATTGCGATTAATTTTGTATTTGCATGTTTAAATACAGTTAAATGCACTATTATAGTTCTTTTAAAATCTGGGTTCTTTATATAATGAGCAAGCTAATGTATGGATGCTGTTTGTAAGATTTCATAATATCTAACATACGCTTTCCGTTTTCAGATGGTCTTCTGATTGTGGGTGTTCACTCAGCTAAGTTTCCAAATGAAAAGGTCCTGGACAATATCAAGAGTGCTGTCCTTCGGTACGACATCACCCACCCTGTGGTTAACGATGCAGATGCCAGCCTTTGGCAGGAGCTTGAAGTCTCCTGCTGGCCCACACTGGTCATCCTGGGACCTCGTGGAAACATGCTGTTTTCTTTGATTGGAGAGGGACACAAAGATAAACTGTTTTCATATACTTCTATGGCTTTAAAGTATTACAAAGACAGGGGACAGATCAGAGACGGGAAGATTGGAATAAAACTCTTTAAAGAGTCTCTGCCACCGTCACCATTGCTGTTCCCTGGCAAAGTCACCGTGGACCATGCTACCGGCAGACTGGTGGTTGCAGACACTGGGCACCATAGAATCTTGGTCATTCAGAAAAACGGACAGATTCAGTACAGCATTGGAGGTAAGGTTTGCTCCTAACATGCTATGTAATATAATTTTAGTTTAAAAATAGTTCAGGTAAATATACAAAAGCAGCCCGAATTGGCTTATGACTTTATCACCGAGTTATTTTGTTATTTAGTCTGTGATATCTGAGTTAACCTCCCTTTCCTTTTCAGAACAAACAAAACCCAGAAGCTCCATGTCAAAAGCAGGAAATCATTAAGTTATATAGTTTTTAGGTATATTTGTGTGCTCCGTCCTGTGTTTTAATAAAAATGTCACATTTATTTGTTCATGGAAATATATGCCAAAATTTTAGGTCAGTGACATTTTAAATAGAAGTTTCATGTTTTCTTCTCTAACAAAATATGTCCATATAGTTTCCAGGACAGTGACCAAGAAACCTGGTATTTAGATTATGAAGTAAACAAGCTTGGGCTTGTACACAGTTTTACTTTTATTCTTGTTTCGTCCTTAAGACTAAAGCATAGGTCTGGATCCCTCCCCTTTCATGAGAGAGCACAGGCCTTCTCGTTCCTTATCTCCTGGGTTTAGATGAGAGCATGCCTCATGTTTCCATCTGCCCGATTAGTAAAATCTCCTAAATCCATTCAGACTAATCCGCTTCTCCGGGCTGAACTGACACACTACAAACAGTGAGGGGAGGAGCCTGTTCCTAGAGTCCCGCTCCGTAGCGCGAAGCGTCTCACATGGGGAGTGTTTCTGCCGTGTTCCTACACCATTGCTCTCGTAATGTGCCAAGACAGGCTCATCTCTTGTGCCGCTGTTTATTCTTATCAGAGTCTGTGTTGTTTTGTGGGGTTTGTGTTTGTTTGTGTTACTTGTTATTTTCAGCTGTAACAAGCAGTTAGGAGCATTGTTCCTTGACAGAATGTCTTGGATTTTTCTGGTCTTTGTGGTTTCGGTGTGTGGAGTGTGTGCTGCTTGTGTGAGTCCGTGCTGACACGGGAGCCAGGGGTTGACTTCGAGTATCTTCCCCCTTTGGTCTCCGCCTTCTTTAGAAGCGGGGTCTCCCAGTGTGCCCAGGCTCATTGGTGTGCCCAGGCTTGCGGGCTCTGAACTGGGGAGATGAGCTTGCTTTGTCCTCCAGCCCCACACCACCGTGTCCTTGTGGTTCTTGTTACTGTTTTAAGACGGGGTCAGATGTAAAGTCCTATGTGGCCTGAAACTCTCTTTGTAGACCAGACTGGCCTCAAGTCACGTAGGTCTGCCATCTTCTGGGATTAAGGGCATGTGCTGCCATGCCTGGTTTTTTGTGTATGCTGGCAATCCAAACTCAGATCCTTGTGGTCGTACAACAGGTACATTACCAGCTGAGCCATTTTCCCACCCAGATTTCAATATACTGTGACGTTAAAGATGGTGTAGGTAAGTGTTCTTACCTCTACAGCTCTGGTTGACCTAGAACTCTCTGTGTAGCTCAGTCTGCTCTGGGACTCACAGAGATAGATACACCTGCCTCTGCCTCTTAAGACAGAATTAAAGGCATGCGCCACCACACCCAGCCCAACAGTGTTCTTTTAACAGAAAACATCTGCAAATGATGTTCTCAAGTGTGCCTCAAAGAATACAGCCATTTCTTGATGCATTATTAACTTGGTTATGAGACAGGTCTCTATCTCTAGCCCAGGCAGACCTGGAACTCACTATATCCCAGACTCACCCTGAATTCACAGCAGTCCACCTGCCCCAAGTCACCACGCCCACCTAATATCATGTCTTACATTTATGTATTTATTGTGTGTACATGTATCATAGCATAGAAGTTAGGGGCATCTCATAGGAGTCGATCCTCTCTTTCCACCGTATGGGTCAGAGGGTCAGTCTCAGGTTGGCAGACTTGGGAGAAAGCTTTTTTACTTGTAAAGCCAGCTTGCCAGCCCCCAACTTTGGTCCCATATTTTCCAGAACTACTGATTTCCTGTGACTTAACAGACTTTGTCCGGGTTCCTAGCACTTCACTCTGACAGTGTCGCGTGGACGTTCAGGTGGTTAGAGCGCTCAGTATGTTCAGATCTGAAGTGACCACAGAGCTCTTCCCCACCTCTCATGTCAACAACAATAGTATTACTAGTGACGGTGGCAGGCCACACTTCTGGGTTCATTCCAAGCACATTGCCTACATTCCACTCCCATAATGCTACGAATCGGGGTATTATTTGTTCAGAAGTAAAACTGAGACATGGAGCACGTACCCAGACCACCAGCTAGAGAGAGCTAGGGCTGGGAGCTAGTGGGCCTTGTTGCGTTCCCTAGCCACCAGGTATGCTGCCTGCCTGCCCGCTGTGTAAGATGGGGAGTGTGCTAAGCAGGTTGTGACTACTGACCTCCAGGCTTTGGGTAGCAGCAGGTGTGAATTACCATGCCACACCGTCGCTCCTTGGAGCTAGGGTGTTCCAGAACTGGAGAATGTTACATCACTGTATGAAGCAGGGTAGGGAGGAGTGTCACCTGGGCCTCTCGACTCAGGGAGACAGGGTGGCTCTAGTTCTGTTTACAGCAGTTTTGAGCATGAGTAATTTTCGAGGGAAGGAATGTATATATAGTTTCCTTTTATTACCAAAGGGGTCTGTTGTCTAAATTGTCTTATCCCTTTGGGGACTAGAGAGATGGCCCAGCAGTTAAGGCTAGAGTGCTTGTTCTTGCAGAGGGCCTGGGTTCCATTCCAGACAACCGTCTGTAACTGCAGTGCCAGGAGATGTGACGCCCTCTTCCGATCTCTGTGGGAGCCGGGCACACATGGCACTTGTACATCATGCAGGCAAGCATGCACGCATCCAGTAAATCACTTTAGTCATTGTAGCTGCTGAGAGGTTAAAGTAATTTTTCACTTTCTAATCTAGGTGGCAGGTATTTAAAATGCTTTGAAAATTAATTTCTTCTGCTGTATGCTAGCCAGAATAGAAAGAAATAGAGGGAAATAGCAGACATCTGTATTTTAAAGTTTTAATTATTTTTCTGTATATGAACTTTTGCCTGCACCTATATCTGTGCGCTGTGTGTGTGCAGTGCTTCCTAAGGCTGGAGGAGGCATCGTACCCTAGGACTGCTGTTGACAGTTGTTGGCTGCCGTGTGGGTGCTGGGGGTAGGAGCCAGCACTTTTAACTGCTGAGCCGTCTCTCCAGCCCCACAGTTTCATTTTTAGATAGAAATACTGAAATTCTGTGTTATTCATTTTTTTAAATAACAGCATTAGGTGCAAATTTTAAAATTATTTATTTGGAGGTTTGTTACTTAGAAGTTGCTTTTTAATGTGAAAGAAAAAAAGATTGTCTCACAACTGCCTTGTCTTTTAGGACCTAACCCTGGAAGAAAAGATGGAATGTTTTCAGAGTCGTCTTTTAATTCTCCACAGGGTGTAGCTATCGTGAATAATGTCATCTATGTGGCTGACACTGAAAACCACCTTATAAGAAAGGTAATTTTCCATTTTAAGTTAACATTTTAATATAGGAGTCCAGGGTCATTCTTGGTTATGTTAATAGTTGGAGGCCAGGTTGGGCTACATGAGACCCTGTATTAAGAAAAAAGGAAGGCTGGGTGTTGGTGGCGCACGCCTTTAATCCCCGCACTCGGGAGGCAGAGGCAGGTGGATCTCTGTGAGTTCCAGTCCAGCCTGATCTACAGAGCAAGTTCCAGGACAGCCTCCAAACAATACAGAGAAACTCTATCTTGAAAAACCAAAAAAACACAAGAAAAAAAGAAAGAAAGAAGGAAGGAAGGGTGGGGAAGAGGGAAAGAAAAAAAATACATTAAGGTTTCAAAAAAATTATCAATATACTCTTATTCAAATTTGGACTTCAAAGCCTATTTTTAGAGAATTTTTTAAAAACAAATGGAATTTATTAAACAGCATTATGTAGGTTTTATTTATTCTGTATTAGTCACAGGATTGATATGACTGTCATATTCCATTATAGATAAACCTGGTTATTTTAAACGTTTAAACATTTCCTACCGTTAGTGATTTCGAATATAGTCTATTATAGACTTTGAAAATAACTAAAGTGCCTGTAATGTATCTTGTTAGGTAAACACAATACTTCTGATACTTCACTTTCATTCAGCATTGACATCTGTCTTCACTCATTTGGTGGGGCTGTCACCTAGTATACATGGTATAGCAACTATATATCTAGACTGTAATGGTATCCGCTGCTGTGTATATCTTGGCAAAAGCAGCGTTTTCTTTGCTGCTGAGTAGAACTTGGCTGTTGAAATATTCAGTAAATATTAGTTGAGTAAGTTTACTAGCAAACTATATATATTTAATGAAACATTTTTATGTATTTATTTTTATCAATATATATTGTGACTTAAAGTACTAAAGTGGGTATGTTTTTTGACTCTTGGAAACCTCCTAGATATTTAAATATGTTTACATGGAGTTAGGGGGGATATTTTTTATTTGATCAAGAAGCCCCTTTTTTTAGGTAGCACCTTATTAGTCTCGTATATAGTTTACAGAAAAATGATGTGGTTTTAATTACTGACCTCTCAGAGGTCTGATCTCCTGAGTAATTTTCTCTGGGAGTTGTTTCTGTAGCTTGTCAGTGATGTCTGACCATTCACTGAGTAGTGAGACAACTAGTCCTTATTAACTGTGTCCCCGCTCAAATGCCTGTTTATTAAGGTAGTGTCATCACAAAGCCCTGGATTTCCTAAAGTTGGTGTCCATTTCGTGTGACGTGACAGTGTCTGAGAATACAGGAGCCGTGGTTGTTTCTCCCTTTGTCTTTCCACAGATATAGTCGCTGTATTTTATTTTGCGGACCTCATTTGCAGATGCGTAAGCTCATCGCTCTCTTACATCCACTCACACAAGCATCACTGTTCCGTGCACACCCTGCTTTTGTTTAGAATGGTTTTATTAACTTACAGGGTTTGGTTTGACTTTCAAAGCAACATTTCTCTGAATATCCCTGGCTGTTCTGGAATTCCCTCTGTAGACCAGACTGACCTCGAACTCAGAGATCTGTCTGCCTCTACCTCCCAAGCGCTCAAGACTTTATTGTGGTATATCAGAAAGCTCACCCATGTAAGTATAGAACTCACTAGTTTCTAATCAGTTTAACAGGTTTTGCAGTCATAACTTTAAATTGTTTTTAGAATATTTCAACCCCCAATTAAGAACTGTCACACAAAGGTAATCACCATTCCCAGCTCTAAGCAGTCAACTACTCATGGACCCTTATCGGACCTTCACACAAATAGAGCCCTGCAGGAGATGATTTCTTCTTCAGTCTTGCTTGATGTTTGAAGGTTTGTCCCTTCCCTTCCCTTCCATTACTAGGAAAAAGAGAGAGGGACGAATCGTGTGCATCTAAGTGACAAGTCTGCTGCAATTATCCTTCTAAAACTCTGTGTTTCAAAGACTCTGTGTGTTCTGTTAGAATCATTCACATATTGAAAGTGAAAGTAACAAGCATTGACTAAAACTTACTGAATTTTTATAGGTTGACCTAGAAGCTGAGAAGGTGAGCACTGTTGCTGGCGTCGGCGTCCAAGGGACAGATACCGAGGGGGGAGAGAGAGGCGAGAAGCAGCCCATCAGCTCCCCGTGGGATGTCGTGGTTGGAACCTCAGGTACCAGAACTTAGCTGCGGATGCCAGCAAATTCTGCTAATAAAAATAAAATCTGATCTTTACAAAATTCTTTTCTTCTGGGCAGAGGTGGCAGACACCTTTAATCACAGCACTGGGGAAGCAGTGACAGGCAGATATTTGAGTTTGAGGCCAGCTTGGTCTATAGAGACCCTTTAATACAGTGTCTCGTGTTGTGGTAACTCCAACCATAAAGTCAATTTTTTGCTACTTCATAACTATAATTCAGTGTAAATATCTGATATGTAACCCAAAGGGGTCACAACCCACAGGCTGAGAACCGATGATCTAGATAGACCAAAAAAATTACACTGATGAGTCATAAAATATTTATAGGATTTTTTTGGTTTTTTTAGCCATCGGGGAGGGGAGTTCAAGACAGGGTTTCTCTGTATAACAGCACTGGCTATCCTAGGACTCGCTCTGTAGACCAGGCTAACCTCCAACTCACAGAGATCCATCTGCCTCTGCCTCCTAAGTGCTGGGATTAAAGGTGTGTGCCGCCACCACCCAGCTTATAAGTATTTTTTATTTGTTTATTTACCTATTTATTTATTTTGATTTTTCAAGACAGGGTTTCTCTGTGTAGCATTGTAGACCAGGCTGGCCTTGAACTCACAGAGGTCTGCCTGCCTTTGCCTCCAGAGTCCTGGGAATAAAGGCGTGCACCACCATCGCTTGGCTTAAGTATTTTTATTTTAAGAAATATAAATGTACATTTCAAAGTCAGTTTCTCTTTTTCATTGTTAGTGGTGGTTCTTAAGACACAATTTCTTATATGTAGCCAAGCTACCTCAGCCTGGAGTCCTGTAGATATGCACACCACACCCAGCTAGCCACTCTCCTGATGTAAGAGTAGACGTTTTCGTTTAAGTAGTTCCTACTGACCTTTCTTTCGTTACCTCAGATAAGTTGTTTTTATTTTCTCAAAGCATGGTGAGATGTTTTGAATACATGTAAAGAAATAAATACGAGGGCTGAAAAAGTTACGTTTTCTATACATTCAACAATTGATTTAGCTGCCTGCCTCTGTTGTATCTTTATATTACATGTATTCCTCTGTATGTGTATCTAATTAAAAGCTAAGCAGTTCAGAAAAAGTAGGAAGGAAAAGGCAATGAAAAGTAACAAAGACAGATAACTGTTGAATATGTGCTTGCAAGGGTCTCAGCTAGTGAACAACATACCTCAAGGATACATGAAGAAACAGATTTTAAATGCCTGATTATTCTAAAAATATGTGCAATTTGTAAATAAAGTGAAATTTACAAAAGTGAGCTTCATTTATCATTTAAATGATGTGACCATAGTCCTCTGTGTGAGGCTGGTGTCTGTGATGGGCTGACCTTTGAGCAGCTGCTTGACGTGTTTCAGTTCTGAGTCACTGATGCCAGACCTTAGCCTGTGTGGGCAGTGTTTATCTGCAGGTCAGAGCCCTGCCAGTGATGAACGCTTTGGACATTATAGAAAGAGCACTGTGCTTGATCCCGTCAGCCTTCCTGACTCTGATGGGGTTTTTCCTAGATACAAACTCAGCTATTCTTACATCACCTTTAATGGTTGGAATTGAGCGCGCGTGTGCTCAGCCGATGGTCCATAGATGAAATGTATTCTGGTGCTTACATGCTTAGATGCCTCACGTGACATTCATTAGTGCTCTATAAAATACCAGTGAATGTTTTTGTTTTAAGTGTAACCCAATGATGCAGGTATGTTTAAAGGGATAAATTTTATGCATTGTGACCAGTGTATTTTTATTTTGAAAAACAACTGTCTTTATATCTAAAATTTGACAAAAGATTCCTTTTCATACAATAATTTTGTTGAGAAATGTTTTTGCATACAGTATACTCTGTTCATACTTTCCCCTTCCCCAGATCCTTGTAGGTCTTCCCCGTCGTCCCAACTCCACCCTGTTTCTTTTTCTCCCACTCTTGAGAAAACAGGTAAACAAACCACAAGAAACCTATACCACACACATACACACACTCCACACAAAGCACCACAAAATGAGAAACCATAGTATATAAGCAAGTGACCAATAAGACCAAAAGAAAAAAAAATCCCAAACAAAGCAAAATGAGACATGAAAAGCCTACAGAAGTACCATCGAGTTTGTTTTGTGTTGCTCACCTACTACTAGGCACGGCACCCATCCCAAAGTGTGGTTTGGGTACCCCGCGAGACTCCATTGGAGAAAAGTAAGTTTTCTTTGGCAAGCAAGCATCAGTTGCAGATGGCGTCTTGGTTAGGTGGAAGCTCCATGCCCACCTCCCCATCTCAGTGCTGGGCCTCATCTGCGCTGAACTCCTGCGCCCTGTGCGCGCTGGCTGCCAGTCTCTGAGAGCTCATGTGTGCATCCGTCCTGTTGTGTCTGGAGACGTCATTCCCTCCGGCTCCTCCAGTCTTCCTCGTCTCTTCTGCAGAAAACCCTGGGGCCTGGGGGGCGGGTTTCCATGAAGACGTCCACTTAGGACTGAGTGCTCCAAAGTCTCCCTCTCTGCACGTTGTCAAGTTGTGGGGCTCCTGTCAGTTCCCCTCTGCTGCAGGAGGAAGCTCTTCTCTCAGAAGACTCTCTCTCTCTCTCTCTCTCTCTCTCTCTCTCTCTCTCTCTCTCTCTCTCTCTCTCTCTCTCTTTCTCTGTCTCTCTCTCTGTCTGTCTCTCTCTCTCAAATATAATTTAAATTAGAAACAATCTTATTTTACAAATCAATTCCAATTCCTCCCATGCCGCCACCAACCCCCCCTCCCATCTGTCATCCACTCCCCAGGGAGGGTGAGGCCTTCTATGAGGGATCACCACCAAAGCTTCTCCACTACTGATAGGAGTGCAAACTCATTCAGCCACATTGGAAATTAGTATGGAGATTCCTCAGAAAAATGGGAATCAGTCTACCACAAGACCAAGCAATTCCACTCTTAGGCATATACCCAAAAGATGTACATTCATACAACAAGGACATCTGTTCCACTATGTTCATAGCAGCATTGTTTGTAATAGCCAGAACCTGGAATCAACCTAGATGCTCCTCAGCTGAAGAGTGGATAGAGAAAACGTGGTACATTTACCCAATGGAATACTGCTTAGTGGGAAAAAAATGGAATCTTGAAATTCACAGTCAAATGGATGGCAGTAGAAGAAGCCATCCTGAGTGAGGTAACCCAGTCACAGAACAACAAATATGTCAGAAGATTCTTAAACATTCTTGTTTTAGGTTAAAGGTAAAACTTACAAAAAGCAGATTTTGTTCTTACTGTGTAGATCTGTGATTTTTGATAAACGCATACACTCTTGTAACTATGACCACAGTCAAGATGAGGAATGCTGCTTCCCCCCAGGAAGTGCCCTCGTGCCCTTTGCCCCGTCTCCCAGCATCTATCTCCACGCCCAGTCGAGCCTCCGGCAGCAGTGGCTTTGTGCTCCCTCAGGACAGCGTTCTATGTCCCCTTCTCCCACTGAGCACAGCGCTTTCGGGGCCTCTCCCTGTCCCAGTTTGCCGTTTCTTGTTGAGAAGTAGTCCGTTGTTTTCTGTTTGGCTGCTCTCAAGCCTTTGCCTTAGGTTTTCAGCAGTTTGGCTGTTACTCCTGAGTTAGTCCACCTAACTGTTGTGGTTTGGTGCCTTCCTTGTTCAGCATCCTTCATTCTCTGCAGGGAGCCGGTGATGTCCTCACCATTTGTTCCTGTCTTTCTCTCTGGACCTCTGACTACTCAGGTGACGTTCCCCGGCATCCTGTCTGGAGCCTTCGCACATGGTGTTCGTTTCCGTTCCCTTCCCCTTCCCTTGTTTTCACAACTCCTTGCTTGCCTTCATGGTCATCAGCTCTTCCCTTACTGTGTCTGTCAGCCGCTGGCCCTGTGTACAGGGTTCTCCATTCTCAGCGTGGTCCTTTAAAGAGAAGCAGTTTCTGCTCTGCTCTTGGTTCTGGGTTCTGTCTCTACAGAAGGCGTCCATTCTTTAAGGACTCTGGCTCCCTCTCCCCAGTCTTTAGCAGAGTAGTCAGTCTCGGGACAGCCCTGAGAGTTTCCGTTCATTGTTTTTGTGCCCCAGAAGCAGGTGTCGTGGTCATCCCCATGTCCCCCTCCCTCCTCTTCTTGCTTTCATGTTTGTCTTCTGTCACTAATTGTATGTCAGTAATCTTGACAAGAGCTTTAAAGCCTTCCTTAAGTAGTGCTAATGCCATCGTGCTTGGCTGGGTTTTATCACTGCTAAGATCGCTGCTTGCACAGGAGCCTTCCAGTTCCTCTAGTTGGGCTGGTTGGGTAGCTTCAGTGTGAGGAGTGGGGTCTAGCTGCCTGGGATCGTGCTGGTGGCATTCCTTACCCTCTGGGTTCTGTTCTGTCACCCCATTACACGGAGCCATATGGTGGCTCTGTCTGTCCACCTGCATCCCCAGGACAGACTTCCACTCTTTGTCACTTTGCCCTTGGCTGTCCTCAATGCTCCACAGACTTGGGGGACATCAGCTCAGCTGGGGGGGGGGGGTTCTGCTGCCCTGTTCTCCTCCTGCTGTGGTTGTGGCTGGTGGCCCTGCTTCCCTAGCAGAAGCCCACCACTTACAGTCATGGAGTGGTTTCTGATGCCCCCACACACACACACTGCCTTTGGTCTTCTCCTGTGTCCTGGGTTAGCAGCTTTGGAGGCGTTTTCAGAAGCGCAGAGGCAGCAGGAGGGCACTGCTCATAGCAGATTAACATCAGGCAGCACTGTCGAAGCTGGGCTCTGTGGTTTTGGTGTTTTTCAGATTTCTTTTATTGAGTTTTATTCTTTTAGATCATTTTAGTAACCTTTGTTGATAATACTGTTTTACCTTTTAAAAGTCTTTTAGGCATTAGAAGGGTGAACATTTCACACCCTGGAGTAGAAAGCTGCAGGTGCGTGGAGCAGCTCATGCGTGACAATGTACCTGATACACGGCTGGAGGGCACGGGCCGGAGGCCCATGGATGGAGAAATAGACAGTGTGCTCTCCTCTGTAGTGCCC